AAATAAAAATAAAATAAAATAATTTTTCTTTTTTATATCCGTATTCTATAAGCTTTTACTATTTTTCATTTTAAAACAATTTTTAACTTTTTTATTAAAAACAAGGACAAAACCAGAGACATTAGCTTAGGCCTGCACAGGGTCAGGATCATCAATATCACTGTCTTCCACCTCCACATCTTGTTCCCCTGGAAGGTTTTCATGGGCAGGAACATGCACGGAGCTGTCATCTCCTCGGATGACAATGCCTTCTTCTGGAATATTTTCTGAAGGACCTGCTGTTTTAAAAAGTAGGAGTACTCTCTACAATAATGATAAATAGCAAATACATAAATCCATAATATAGTCATTTATTATCAAGTATTATGTTACTGTTCATAATTGTATGTGCTATAATTCTCTATGACTGGCAGTGCAGTAGGCTTGTTTATACCAACATCACCACAAACATGTGAGTAATGCATTGAGCTCATGGCATGACAGCTGCGATGTCACTAGGCGATAGAAAGTTTTCAGCTCCATTGTAATCTTATGGGACCACCATCATATATGCAATCCATCATTGACCAAAACATCATGATGTGGCACACGATTGTATTTTATACAATCAAACTTGGGTCTTAGGATCTCTGTCTGGTAGAGGATTGAGTAGGGGGTGAGAGCCAGAGAGCTGGTTATGAGAAATGAGCTATGAAAAATGAGGAAGAGGGAGATGCAGCTGTAGGGATTTAGTATCTCCCTTCCCTCCCTTTCTATGACCCTGGGGTTCAGGGTAAAGGAAGAAAAAAGTTCCAAATTTGTGCATCTGAGAAGGCAAAAGGTTGGCAAGGGTAGAGTTTGCTCAGTCCTCTTGAAGTCTAAGCAATAAATATCTCTTGCTTTGCTTACTATTACTCTTCTTCTTGCTTTGGGAACAGTACTACCTTTTGGAGTCTGGGTGAGTCCCACCTCCTTGTCTCTTGGTCCACAAAGTTTAGGTGCTGCTGAGTGAATCTGGCAGAGTGGACACGTGACTCAGACCTGGCCCACTGGTGTGTTCCATTTTTGGGTTATGGTGATCATAACCAAGTAGGCCTGATCAGAACTACTACAGGGACTTCACCATAGCAACTGGGAAAGAGGTGCTGGCTGTCTACAGGACTTTGAAACTGCCAGAGGGGACCTCATGGAGAAGACCTGCCTCTAAGAGGAGGTTGGCACCAAGAAAATTACAGACAGGCAGATTGAATGCTTGTTTGAGCCCTTGAACCCAGGCATACATGAAGTTATATTTGCCATTTGGACTTTATGGTAATATGAGCCAATAAATTCCTTCATTCCACTGGAGTGAAATTCCTCTGTTCACCGTTTATTCCTAGGCGAAGAGTGAGGGCTGAAAAGTATTTTTAAAAGACATTGAATGAAAGAAATCTGTGATCTCATCTGTAAGGAGTGGAAAAGACGTGTTAATGTATTTTCCCTTGGGCTTTGTAATACAGTGTTTAAATGCTAGAACAACCTTAGTAAGTCCTATAATATACTACAGGCATATAAGAATTAATATAGCTCTTGTGGGTTGGCCTATAACCAATTAACAACAGAACTTTGGAGATACAATCTGGTCCATCTGTCAGGACTTACCTTCATTGAAAAAGAGTCATTGACAAGCCTACATCAATTCTGAATACCATACAATTCTTCCTAATGTCCTTCCAGCAAAAACCAGTGAGCAGAACCTAAAGTTATAAACCAAATATTTCCTAAACATTAGGTTGTCCATATTTAAAGATGTGGGAGACATTCAACATAAAGAACTTCTTATATTACCACTTATAGAAAAAGTACATTGAACATGTGCATAACCAGAGTGAATATTTTCTTTGAAAATGAAAACATGTTACTTTTTAAATTCAGGAATAACAATTTTTTAATGCCAATATTTTCCTTAATCAGAATTTTATATTTTCAATGGAGATGAAAACCTAAGCTAATTTGTTTCTTTGGAGTAATAATTTTTTAATGACAATGACTTCTACCTGTGGAATCATAAACAAATGTAAGCATACTTGCCTTAGGAAAACAAAAAAAATTATATTCATTGAGTTTAAATAATTTATGTAAAATCTCCAGAATTTCCCAAACGGTGTTCTTTGGAACAATTAGCAGGTATCTTACACACACACACACACACACACACACACAGTCCTGTGGCCAAACGAGATCGGGAAATGTTACAAACTCTCAATCCCATTAGCATAATTTAGAATGTGAGAAGCCTTGCCGTAGAGATACCTGTTCAAATTTGTTTAGCTCAGCATTTCCCAAAGCTAACTTCCTCAAAATTAACTACAGTATAGCATTTCCCCACCCCAGCCCACCTCCAAACCCCCATTCCTCAAAGCAACTTGTGCAACAGCTTGTGGAACTAGCTCCATAAAGTGAAGTTTGGGAAACACTAGTTTCGTGGTTTCTATTTACATAGATTTTGCTGTCTGAATAATATGTAAGGAATTTTGAGTGACAATTGCACCCATTTGGATATATCTTCAACTGACTCCATAATTAGAAATTTAAAATGCAAATTTTTCAAAAGCAAACTGTCTTTACCATTTAGATGTGTTGCTGAAATTTATTTGGTTTTGTGTATACTCATATTACTTTCTAGTGTATCTGGTATAGGTAATAGGCTCAAAAGACCTACAAATATTGAACACAAATACAATTAACCATGTCTACATTTTATGCTATATACAGGACCTTGACAATTTTAATATGGCAGGTTTACTCCACACTTTTTTTGAGGGGAGGAGGATATATGCCTCTTGGAAAAAGCAGGATAATCAAAGCTTCCTCACTTACACTCTGTTCAGATGTGTATTATGGATTCATGTTATTATGGGTGCAGACATAAAGCCACTGCTATTGAGCCTCAGATGTGGCAGCAAAGAATTAAGAGATCATCACCACTTCTCTCTAAATATAATGAAAATCTAACTTTACAACACTCCTCTTAAAGGAGCTTTCCTCGTGCTACTTGGCTATGCATTAAATCTTGGCATACACAAAAAAATAAAAACAGGGTAATTCTAACAGTTCATTTATGTAGGCTGGATTAGGAAGATCAACTTCTCAGATGGTTTTCCAAAGAAGTCATCAAATGTAAGTACAATTGAAAATAAAATCCTGAAAAACATTTCAATATTGATAGGAAACTGAAGACAGGATATAGTCAAGACACCACTCTTAGCTGTATATCAGTGTATATCGCAAAGGATTAAAAAGTTTAATTTTTCAAAAGAATATAATAAAGATTTCAGCTTCAGTAAGGCATGTTTTATGAAAATAATATAATTATTCTCATGGCAGAAGCATACATGCAGAATGTACGGTTTAAAACAATTTAAATTTTAGGTCATTTGTGCTGAAGATATTTTAATGTGATACATTGAGTTTATTATTAATTCTCTAAAATATTCCTACCCTAGGTCTTACAAACAGCAAGGTTCCTTTCTCCAAAATGGCCTGGGGCTCTGCCCCCTGGCCGGTTTACACACATCTTCAATCTATGTTGTAATTCAGTGCTTTGCCAAATGTGGTATGCATGTCACTGCTAATACAGGTGATGATTTTAGTTGGTCCAGAAAGTATTTTCCGTTTTAGTAATGAAGGTGATTATTATAAGAAAAGCTATCCTTTACTGAGCATTTACTATGTGCTATCAAGCACAAATTCTAGTATTATTAACTCGAATGGTCTTCACAAGACCATTATATGGTAGCTACTTTCGAGGCACAGGGAGGCCAAATAACTTGTGCAAAATCACAGAGCAAGACATGGGCAGAGATAAGGTTCAAACCCAGGAAGATTAACTGAGAGGCCATGTGTGGTGACTGAACAGATGTAATTTATTTGAAAGTGAATTGGCTTAATAAAATTTTAAGAAATTAAGTCTGTGGATATCAAATGAAGTCATACACATTGCAGGCAAATGTCCAATCTTCAGGTAACACCATTATAACACGTAATTGTGTGTGTGTGGCGGGGGGAGGGCGGGGGGAAGCTAAAGATGAAGGATCCTTATGGGCTGTGAAATGACTGTTTACTGGTAAATACCAGGACAGAAATGTGAGTGAAGGTATTTCTGCAGATCCCCTGGAGATGAAAAGCCCCAAGTTTCAGCTTACTTGCTTTTGATTGTGCCCAGAATATTTTCTCTTGTTCCAAAAGGAAATCTTCCTACTTTTACATGTTTTTAAGGGGTCCTACAGTTGTACTTCTAGGGAAAATAAAAATAATTCCAATAGGCCTGAAAAAGAAAGGCCTTGATTACTGTATATTACAATTTAAGAAGAAAATTAAACTTAGGAAAAAGCTGACAGCTCAGGAGCATTACAGGAAGTTTCTGGCTCATTTTCTCCAGAGGTTAAACCAGAATATATTTTTTAAAAGGGCAGAAGTTTAAGGTCTAGCTAGGGAATAAAGACATGTTTTGTCTGACACTTTCCAATTCAAATTCAACATTTATCAAATGATTCTTAAGTAGTGTATTAAAAAAAAAAAAAAAAAAAAAAGCAACCAGGAGCTGGCAGCCTGGGTATATTAAGCTTTCATTATTGTAAATTTGTATTTTAAAAACCCAGAATCTTTTCTGTAAATATGCAAGGGTTTCTCTGACAATTTCTCTTTTTTAAAGCCACCTCTCACTGAAACATTTTAAATAAAACTCCTATATCTAAAATGAAGTCTTGGCATTTGGGAGTTTAAAATCTCCCCAAATTCAGAGGGGGATAAAAAAGCTGCATAATTATAGCTCATCTGAGTGTAAGTCAAAAAGTAATCAAAAATGTTTAAAACCAAAAAGTAACATCTTAGAGTGGCATTTTAAACAAAAAAAGTACTTACTGGCATTCTCTAAATTTTCATGCAATTTGTTATTCATTAAATCAGAAGAAAATGTGCACTACCATTTTTTGATAAGGCAGATAACATTCAAAATTGGCATTAACACAATAGGCCACCACTATGTGAAAAACCAAATGCTTTAATGAGGCTATCAAGAACAAGTCGATTATTTCATTGGATACATTAATATCGATCCATAATATACAGTGCTATGGACCATACAGAAATTATTGCTGCATCCAACAGCAGGTGACTATTATTAACATTACAGTACCAAGCATCTGCAAGAGACAGTCATTTGTCATTTTTATCAAGAAATAGGGCTGTTTTATACTGTTATTGACATCAACTTTTTCCCAGTGCATTTTTCAAAAATATTAATAAGTTCATTCCTTTGTGCTTTTAACTTCCTATGTATTGTATTTGTTCTTATTGCTTTATTGTTTAAAAACAACCAGAAAGAATTTTGTCATCCTATGTATGACCAGGTTGCTTGTATGCTTTTTGGCAAAGTCAGAAGGTTTGGTATTTCCATTGCCCTACTCAGAGGCAGACAGACAATTTTGGCATTTTGGTCACTCCATACAGAGGCCCAAGCCCGAGTCACAATTCTGCACCCGGGAATGGGGGGAGTGGTGTGGATCATTTTCTCGTTACCAACAACAAGCCCAAACCACTGCCTCTTGGCTTAACTAGCCCCAAAAACGAATCCACACTCTATTTGGCAAAAAAATAAATAAATAAAACCACCCCCAAGGTTGCAGCATTCTCCTGGGTTTGCTCACCTGCCACCTGCAGAAATTGTCTCTTAAGAGAAGGGGACGGGGAGGCAGGCAATGGCAAGGTTAGGAGTTGCGACAGTCAGGGCAGTGGTACAAGATGCCATACTTTCTTTCAACAAAGCTTTCTATATGGTTGCTAAACCATAGTCCTGTTCCCTTGGCCGTAGGTTAGTCAATCTTGCTTTATTTTTAAAAACCCTCAAAATCAGCTAAGGAAAACTAACATCATAGCGTCACGATCTTCAACTTTTGCATCCAGTGCCCTCCCCCCCATATAAATATGAAGAGAAAAACAGACAATGCTATGATTGTATCAATGAACACTATGGTACAATTAGTTGTTCATGCAGATTTGCATCACTATTCTAGGAAAAGAGCAATACAGTTAAGGGGGTTGAAAGAATGGGAACTAATTTTCCCTACCCCCTTAAGTAATAAAGCTATAAAACTGATAGCATCACCAATGTTTCCAAGGATTCTCATTGCCCAGCGTGCGTGGGAACTATGCAGTTGATTATTTTCACTTAAACCATCCATTCACACATCTGACGATCACTCCTCTCTGAACCCTCCATCACCCATCACCAGTTCACATTTGACATTTAAACACTTTTTAAAAACCCTCCTGAATAAGGTTTCCTGATGAAAGAAGTTGGCACTCTGTCACTAAAATATATTTAATATTAAAAATATCTGAAGGAAAATTGGAAGCTCTTATATTGTCTACATAGGCACCATGCTACATGTTCCTCTTGACTATAGATACCATCGTGAAACTTTCCCCTACATTACAGTTCAGTCAGTGCTAGTCCAAAAAAGACTACTGCTATATTTAAGGCACTTCATTCTGAATGGATATGCTTTATGCCACTTGCTATTCAATTGTAGGCTGCTACTGAGAAATTCCATTCAACAGCCTGGCTCATAACACTATATGGCATCTGTATAAAACATCTAGGCTTGATACATGTAACACTACTGTTATTGCATAGGACTACACAAGTAGATAATGCACTGAAACTAACTTTACAACATTGCTCCTTGTTAAAACAAGTAACAGTAATTCGCCAATACAGTATTTCTTTCTTAAAAATAAATTCAGCAAGTTTGCTGAAATAAACCCCAATTTAAATGACCAGAATGGGCGTATTAATGCTATGGTTATTGGTCTCCAAGAATATTGCTATTTTCATATCCTAAAAATAAATATGTAAGTTTATTCTTTCTAGAAAGCCTGGTTTTAACCTATTAATACTACACCTTAAATGTGTCCAAAAACAGCTCTGAGTGAGACTGTAATTTACAAAATATTCGCAAAGCTGTCTTTTAAACGCAAGACCTTGCATAAAAGTTTTCTTTCATGGGTGTACAAAGAATGCGGAAAACCACCAGTGAGTTGTAAAAATATCGAAAACTTGCCATTTGAAGATGCATATTCTTACAAATTAATACAAACATATTGAAAAGAACAATGATAATAAAGAATCTGTACAAATCAAATGAACAGTAAAACATAATTTAAAAATAAAAATAGTAAAGCCAATTAGAAATATGCCCAGTTCGGTTTTCTTATCAAAAGCAAAAATGAAAAAACAACAACAAAAAAGAGTAAAACATACTTTCAGTGCTCCTCAATAGTTTACTTTGAGAGGACATTAATTTCCATTTCAAAATAAAATATATCTTATGAAAAACTGAATCACACTCATTGATGAAGAAAACTGTAACAGCACAGAATAAAAGAGAGCGAGATTAGACTTTAAATTTCAGAGCCTTGGTCTAACTCCCTTCAGTTTCAGTTGGTATCAGTTATGTTTTCGAACCAGACGATCTTCATGAAAAGACTGCATTTTTTTTTGTCTTTTACAGAATACAGTATTTCTTTAAATAGTTTGCAGTATAAAGACTAAACAAAGCTAGAGGGGTACTGTATCTTTAAGGCAGTACCAATGAATCAATACATTTATAAAATGGAAAAGGGTTAGTATGGATTTCTTTTCCTCTTTTTTTTTTTCTTTTTGGTTGCTTTACATTCTTTCAATTAAACTTTACATTTAATTTCTAAGGAAGTCACAGGCATAAAAATCTCAAATCAAGTTTCCCCTGAATAAAAATGGACAGACATTTCTCTGACGCAAAATCCTCTTGCTCAGAAAGCTCAAGTCTGTGGTGAATTCAGTTCACAGATACTGCACACTTATTTGTACAATACTTTGGAGGCATTTGTAGTTGTAAAATAGAATATACAAGTCTGTTTCACAAAATTCTAAAAATAAAATATATCCTGGGCTATTGATAAAGCATGAAAAAAAATTTCATATTAAAGGAAAAGTATCAAGAAAACCCCCTCAGGTAAGTTATTAAATCTACGAATCAAGAATGGAAGCAGTTTGTGCGAATGCAGTGCAGGGAGGATTCGCTAACAAGCATGCTCCGTCTCTTCCATGCTCATACTGCTCCTCCGGCTGCTTGTTTTGGAGGCTCCGGGGGACACTGAGGAAAGGAGTGGATCAGTGACACCAACGGGAGAAAGAGTGTCATCCATCAGGATGTCTTCCAGTTTGGATCCCATTTTCGTGGGGACACTATAGGCTTGGTTGGCCTCGGTCCCAGTTCCGAGGTTGTTGTTGAAGGTGATGGTGCCATCCGTGAGATCGAGAGTTGTTGTACAAGTTAGGTCTGCGTGATGCTGAAGGAGGTCTTGGCTGCAGTTCTCAAGAACGGGTTCTTGCTTGATGATCCGATTCACCAAATCTGGAGAGCAGAGACCCGTGGATGGAATAAGGGAAAGTCCATGAGCTCGAGCCTGCATTTCAAGTTCCTATAATAAGAGTAAAGATAAAACACTGAAATAGGCAGAGCACAGAGGACTTTTAAGCCCGTGAAACCACTCTATATGATACTGTAATGGTAGATGCATGTCATTAGACATTTGGCCAAACCCACAAAATGTACAACACCAAGAGGGAATGTAAAGTATAGACTTTGGAGGGAAATGAAATGTCACTGCGGGTTCATTGATTCTAATAAATGTGCCACTCTGGTAGGGAATGCTGATAATGGGGAAGGCCGTGCATGCTTGGGGGAAAGAGGTGTATGGGAAATAGCTGCAGCATTATTTCAATTTTACTGCGAACCAAAAACTGTCCCAAAAAATAAAGTCTATTATTAAAAATCAGATACTTGGAAAACAATAAATCCTCAAAATAAAAGTTTTTTTGTTCTTTTAAATTAATAAGCTCTGTATGTTCTAAAGTATAGTAGAAGTACCACTGGTAGTATATGAAATAAAGTTTTAGGTGTTTTATAGATTTGACTATGTATGAAAAACAGAGAGAGATGGTCTCTCACAGATATTAATGTTCACACTGAGGATAAGTTAAAAAATACAAAAATGAAGTTTTAAATGCAAGCTGATAAAAATATTATTTGGGAGGCCGAGGGGAGTGGATCACCTGAGGTCAGGAGTTTGAGACCAGCCTGGTCAACATGGTGAAAAATTAGCCGGGCATGGCGGTGCGCATCTGTAATCCCAGCTACTCGGGAGGTTGAGGCAGGAGAATCGTTTGAACCTGAGAGGTGGAGGTTGCAGTGAGCCAAGATCATGCCATTGCACTCCAGCCTGGGCAAGAAGAGTGAAACACCATCTCAAAAAAAAAAAAAAAAAAAAGAAAGAAGAAAAACGAAAGAAAAGAAAAAAGAAACATATTCAATAAAGAGTAACATAGTTTCATGGTCCTTCAGCTTTCATGGTCCTTCAGCTGTGCACTGAGGTCCCCATGGGTGCTGCAATGAACTCACAGAGCACTGGAGATAGCCTAACATTTCAAGGGAAATGGCAATACTACCTGAGAACTACTAAACTTAAGATAGTTCTCTTTCAGCATCAGACTGTGCTATACACTTTTCAACCACATCATATCATTGCAAAGTTGGGCTTGTGGCGGTTGCTGTGATGAAAGAAAAACAAGTTTCGCATGAACATCACTGTGGACTGGGCAACAAGGGTGGTGGTGTCCAGTCTGATTCCAAGAGACTTTAGAAGTTGTGCAGTGCCCAACAGGCACACACATCTAGTTAGTAAGTAATATGGTTATTTAATAACAAAATAAAAATGCTATTTTCCTTTTAATTTATATATTTTATTTTTTCAAATGGCTACCAAGTTGTTAAAACCTAAATACTTAATAAGTTGTTTGGACCTAACAAAAAGAGTAGGTATTTCTTTTGGTCTAGGGGGATGGTAAAAAGCTTGCTAAAACACTAAGAGTGCCATGAAGTTAAAAAGTTTTGGTAGTGATAGCAAAAGCTGTGAAAGTTCTATGCAAGTAACTAAAGTTTTAGAAGCATCATTTAACCCATTTCACGATGGCAAAGGGAAAGTATGTTTTTAACTCAACAAGTAAGTTCTCATCTATAAGATGAACAACTTTTTTCCTTTCCTTCCTCACATACATTCCTATTATTGGCTAAATTGTGTCCTGGAAAAAATTTGGATGTTGAAGTCCTAACGTTAGTACCTTGGAATGTGACTGTATTTGGAGATAGGGCCTTTAAAGAGGCGATTAATTTAAAATGAGATCATACTGGTGGGCCTAAACCCAGTAGGACTGGTGTCCTTGTAAGAAAAGGAGATTGGGACAGATGCACACAGAAAAAAGACCATGTGAACACACAGGGAGAAGACGGGCATCTAGAAGCCAAGGAGAGAGGCTTCAGAAGGGACCAACCCTGCTGACAACTTGATCTTGGACAACAACTAGCCTCCAGAATTGTGAGAAAATAACTCTTGTTTACTACCCAGTCAATGGCATTTCACTACAGCCGCACTAACTGAGTAATACACTTACTAAATGCCATTGATTCCCCCTGTATCATTGCAAAATGCCTTCCAAGTAAGCTCTTTCTCTTTTTCCTTTCTGAGTGTATCTCTAAAATGAACCATAGACACTTTAATTGATTCCTGATAAGCATTCTGGTTCTCCATTCCAATGCTATCCCTTCTATGACTGTGAAACAATAATATGTAGCAAGAGAATATAAATTTGAAGCAAGTCACCTTTCCTTATCAGAGAGGGGAAGGACTCTCCACATGACATGGCCTCTCAACCTTTGCCCACAAGCTGAGAAACATATGTGCTTGAAAAGCCATGTTTCAGTCTAAATTCAAGGTTTTTGGATCTCCAAAATCCTTCTTTGGATGCGATATGAGTAAAAGCCAGGAGCTTGAGATGTCACACAAGTACCTTCAAGTTCCTTTAAATAATCTTCAGAAACACAAGTTTCTTCAGGCATCATTTGAAAGCCCTGGGCTATTTAATAAAATGGCAGTTTCACTGATATTAAGGATTCATGCTCTTTCTTCTGTGAAAACTTTTGCGTGCATCACTTAGAGTGAAAATGAAAGAAAGCCCTTAGGCCCATACTGAAAACATGGACTCTTGTAAGTCTACACCAACATGCTAATAAGAACAGCACCTCCACACATGCAGATTGTCTTTTCAGAAAAAGAATAATAAAGTTGGATTAAGAGAGGCAAACATCTTACTCTAATCCTTTGTTGTCTAATTAAAAATATTTATCAGCTGATTAAAGCATTACTCAGATTTCTAAATAAGGTGATAAATCTCATCTAGAGAACTCTGGCTTAATTGCATTGCAGAACTTTCCTAATTAATAATGTTTTCTGTGATATGCAAAAGTTCTAAAGGCTGCCTCACATCGTCATTGGAAGAAAATCAAGATATCGTCACCATGGAATTTCCAATGCACATATTTCACAATATTCGTATTTCATATGAATATACATGTTTGGAACCCTAAAATAAAACAAAACCTAGCTACTCTTTCAAAATAGTTATTACATTTTAATACTTGTAGAAGGAAACGACACATTAGTACAAGCTGCTTTTTCTGTTTGTTTTTTGATACGGAGTCTTGCTCTGCAGCCTAGGCTGGAGTGCAATGGCACAATCTTGGCTCACTGCAATCTCTGCCTCCCGGGTTCTCCTGCCTCAGCCTCCAGCTCCTGAGTAGCTGGGATTACAAGCATCCACCACCACGCCCAGCTAATTTTTTTTTTTGTTTTTGGATTTTTGGTAAAGTGGTTTCACCATGTTGGCCAGACTGGTCTCGAACTCCTGACCTTGTGATCCACCCGCCTTGGCCTCTCAAAGTGCTGGGATTACAGGCGTGAGCCACTGCACCCAGCCACAAGTTGGTTTTATTTTTATTTCTATTTTTAAATTTTTTTTGAGATGGAGTCTCACTCTGTCACCTAGGCTGGAATGCAGGGGTGTGATCTTGGCTCACTGCAACCTCCACCTCCCGGGTTCAAGAGATTCTCTGCCTCAGCCTCACGAGTAGCTGGGATTACAGGTGCTTGCCACCACATCCAGCTAATTTTTGTATTTTTAGTAGAGATGGGGCTTCACCATCTTGGCCAGGCTGGTCTTGAACTCCTGATCTCGTGATCCACCCGCCTTGGCCTCCCAAAGTGCTGGGATTACAAGCGTGAGCTACCATGCCCGGCCGACAAGCTGCTTTTATAAATAGGTAGACTACGTTCAAGAGATTAAATACCTATAGCTACTTGTTGAAGAGAGAGAACATAAAACCAACAACCAAAGCCAAAGTAGAGGAGGGGAGGGGAAAGGAGGGCTTTCAAATTACACACAACCTCTCCTTCACTACCCAGGGTCCTAAAATGCACTCCAACAGGGAAGTGGCTTCCCACCTCCCCGACCCGCAGCTGAGGAATCGCTGCAGTGAATGAGAGATGTGAAATTTCAAAATATAAGCATTCAGAAGACTGGAGACCATTATTATAAGTGAATTGCTCTGTTTGAAAAGTTCAGCGTCCAGGAGGAACACCATTAGGTGAAACACAATGGTCTCTAGGGTGTCATACTTCTCACTGCTGTTTCGTAAAATAACTCCATGAATAGTTGTACTGGAAAAGTTGAAAGACAACCCTTGCTTTATGGCAAAATCTAGTAAAAGGTGGGTCAGCCTACTCAAGAAGAAGGTACGGTGTCATTGACTCTTACAGATAGGTTTTGTTCAAAGTCAGCAAATTAAAATTACCCTCACAAACCCCCTTTGGTTCAAACAGGGAGTCTGTTTTTGAGGATCATTTCAGAGGAAGTAGTGCCCTTTCACCCAACAAGAGAGGCCGAGCACCTGAGAGAAGTTCCAGGAGCTGACACTGAAGAGGAACTCCCCATCTCCCGTTTACACTGGTGCATGTACCCACTGAACAGGATGACGCACAAATTGTACATATTAATACAATGAGTATGTCTTCCTCTAAGGGTGTATAGTTTAAGTTAAAGATATATGTTACAATTCCATTATTTATAACTATCTCCAGGAATTATGTCCTTAATATAAGATCCTCTGGGTGTCCCCAAGTTCCTTATAAACACAGACTTTGATCATCAACTGCTTCCTAGACCCTGCAAATACTAAGGCATCTTCTTATTTAACATGTATAGTCAGTGCTTATGTTTTTTATGTTCTACAAAGTCACTGTGAACACTGAATGGGTGAACACTGAAGCACTGTTCCCAGGGGAATTACAGGTTAGGTTCCTGTGAGACCCCAGTCACAACACTTAATCTCGTTATATGTATATTTCTGTTGGAGGTCACCTTATGTAATATATGTTGTTGACCCGTGAATATTAAACTCGCAGCCAACAGAACTGTAACTCATGCCGGAAAGAAGCTTATCCAACACCTGTGTTTTCTCTGTAAGACACATCACGGCCTTCTTGCCCTCAGGAACTCTAGACATTGCTTCCGCATTATGCTTGGGGGTCATTTTAAACAGCGAAATCACCAACAGAAACAATAATGTAGAAAGCACTGAACAGACCACGAAATGAGCACTTGTTTAGAGGATGAGAGCTGAAACAAGAAAGCAGACAGTCAGCCTCGGGCAGGGTCATTCGACCTCACCTGGAAATGCGTGCCATGGGTAGCTCAAACTTGCCACTCTGCACATGTCTGAGAATGACTGTGGGCACGCAGCTCAAACTGGCCACTCTGCACATGTCCAAGAATGACTGTGGAAGTGCCACAGATATTGATTTTGGGGTTACAAGTAGGCAAATTCACACATACAGAATCCACAAATAATAAGGACTGACCGTGTTAGGATCATGTAAGTCAACTCCCCTATGGCTCATTATATCCATCTTTCTACTGTCTTGAAGTTGGTAACAAGCAGTAAACTTTACACAACTCAGGCCATGTACCTGTATTCTGAGCAACAAATGCCGGTTGGCGTGCTCCAGTTTCTTCTGTCGGTTTTCAAGTTCTTTGGCGCGTTGCTGTTCTCGTTGCAACTTTCGGATATAGTCCACAGACGCTTTTAAGATGGTTCCCTTGTTCCAGCGCATGTCTCTGCAATGGAAATGGAGGAAAACAGACATTTTTAGGATTTGAGGCTCAATGAAAATTCAATATTCAAAGCATTCCATATCTCTTTTTTTGAACTTAATTTTTTTTTTTTTTAATTTTAATAGTTTTGGGGGAACAGGTGGTGCTTGGTTACATGGATAAGTTCTTTATTGGTGATTTCTGAGATTTTGGTACATCCATCACCCAAGCTGTGTACACTGTACCCAACCTGTAGTCTTTTATCCCTCACCCCCATCCTACCCACTCCATCCCTTCCCCGCAAGTCCCCAAAGTCCATTGTATCATTTTTAAAAGCATTCAATTTTGAAAATGAAATAATCATACATTAATAATAGCTACCATTCATGAGTGTTTGCCACGTGCCTAGTGTTGCCCACCCAGTTTGTACACATTGTCTTACTTAACCCAGACAAGCACCTTGTAAGATAGAGACTTTGTGCACATGTTGAAACAGAGACAATTCAACTTGTCCTAGGCCACACAGTACCACATGGTAGAGTCAGGACTTAAATTTAGGTCTGTTGATTACAGTTTCCTTAAACATTATATTAAACAGTTATAGGTTTCTAAAACTATAAAAGTTAACTCAGAGTAAATGATGGTAAAACAGATCTGTGAGATCACACTACTAAATTGTTTGTGGCATAAACTCAGCATCCTTCTATTTTTTTTTTTTTTTTCATCAAGAATTATCCCAAGCATGCTATCTAGCCTCTCTCTATCCATTTCCTCATCTACAAGTATCAGGTGGAATGGGTGAATAGAGGGTCGTTAAACAAGTCACCAAGTAATTGATCCTCATATGGGTTACATTAAGAACAAAACAGAAGTTCTCCCATAAGAGGGACAGTTCCAGCCCCCAGAGAATTCCCTGGGGTTGGTCCCTGGGTTCTGAACACCAAAGATGGCAACCCAGGGGAACGTCCTGAGATACCCAGAGTGAGCACAGACTTAATATTCAGAGCTAAGATCAAAGTAAGAGAAGTAACTTTAGCAGCCAGAGAGAAATGTAATTAAAATAAATGATGCTTCACGTAGGTCAGCAAGATGAGAAATCAGAATTGGGATATGTGAGGGGTCACTCAGTTTAAAAGAAGTGATTGTTTCAACCAGTTACCTTGGGTTTTGCTTCCTTGTGAGATCCAATCAATCAATTATGCTTCTGAGTTTAAGAAAGGGTTTTCAAACTTTTTTTTTGTTCAGTAATAAGAGGGACTCTTTTTTCACAGAATAGTGTATATAGATCTCCATTATATAAAATCAACAAAAGCAGACTTGCTCCAGTAGAAGAAAAGGTACTGGGCTGAGACCCCAGTCTATGAGACTGCGTCTACATAACAGCCCCAAGGCACATTCTAGAAACCTGGTGTGGGAAAACCACCATATAGATTATAGTCTGTTTTATCTTAAAACAATGCCTACAATTAAAGATCTTTATCAGTTCAGATTATAAACCCGCAAGTATTCTAATACAATGGGGAAAGAAGATATGCAAATAGAGGCTTTCACTGCAGCCCCATAATTTCATAATATGTTGCTAAAGAGATTCACATGCTACAGTTTAAAAGAATATGCTAAAAAGTGAAAGCTGATAAAGAACAGGAAAATGGGAATTCAATTTCAACTATCATGCAAGACTGACTATAGGAAATGAAGGTCACAGCCCTTTAGTAGGATACATTTGTGCTGCAGAACTGAGAATCTGAAATGTTTCGGGTTTGAAAATGCCTTTCCTTGAAACCTGGGAAGGCAAAACATTGAAGATGGAATTGTGCTTGTACATTCATCAAAACCACCTCACAATAGGTAATGGTTTTATTTTATTTTGTTACAAATTCTCTAACAATAATGTGAATAGCAAATTTAATAAGCCTTGCATGAATAATACTTGATTTCATCTTTACATTTTATTAGGTAGCTAAAAGGTCATATTCAAAGGCTAATTTCACAGAATGCCTGTGGGGGCCATTAAAATGTATATATTTTCTAGCCCCTTGCTTCAAATGAGCCAATTTCTAATGGATAAAAACTGTGTGTTTGTTGTCCTATGTGCTGACGTTGCAGGTAACTATAGGCTGGTAGGAAAGACTTGAGAAAATTATCTTTACAGCTGTTATCTCTGAAGGGGGCAGGGTGGATAAAGAGAGACCAAAAGCTGAAATCCAAATTAGCTGACCTGTACTTAATAAGAGGATTAAAACATTACTTTTTTTCCCCTACAATGGTAAAACATACAAAGAGCAGGCAAGTTTTCATAAAAGCAATTGATCTTTTTTTGTCTGTTGAGTATCATTAAACTTGAAGTCTCTAATGTCCGTTCATCAGTGCCTATTTAGAGATACTGTACAAGTCGAAGAGCAGTCAATAAATCTAGCTTTAACAGCTATTGAAAGTTCTGTTCTGCATGAATCATTAAAGGAAGTATTTTTTAAGCTCAGTATTTGTTTGCAAAGAATTCTTAGGTTTCAGAAAGTCACCTCCTCTCAGAAAGCCACCTCCTCACAACCAAAGCATCTAGTGTCCAAAGATCATTTTGTACAATTCAATGCTTTTGTCTTGAAATTTTAGTTTGATGAGACTAACCAAAAGAAAGGTGTAAGAAGAATTTAGGAACAGAACCAAAGGGAGAGGAGAGACTTCTTTACTTTAGTTTTTACAACTGCATTTTTTACAACATATGAAAAAACATTCAGGTCCGAAAAATATATGATGCAGATTAACACGCAATTGTACTCACGGATCATTTGACTTGGGAATCAAAGTACCTAGTTCCTTAATGCGGTCATTTATGTTAAATCTTCTTCTTCGTTCAACTTCAAGAAAAGAGCACAGGAAAGGGCTATTAGTAACAGTACCATGTATGCATTTAGCATATCTCATTAAAGGCATGTGCATATTAACTTCTCAGGTCAAGACAATGGAAACCTGAACCTACTTTTCCCCTATTTTTACTACGTTTTTGGTATTGCAGTTAAAAATGAGCTACCTTTCTTTATCATTTCCAAAGCCCTTAGATACATACGATTTCTCATTTGCTCCTACAGCAACCCCGAAATCAGTTACTATCCTCAGTTACAAATAATGAAATTGCCTTGGAGATACCTTTATTAGGGACTTGGCAAGGACATCCAGCAATATCTGGTGAACAGCCCAAATTCTAACCTAACCCCTTAGAGCAGAAGTCAGTAAACTTTCTGCAAAGAGCCAGGAAGTTAGTACTTCTGGTTTTGTGGGATAAGTAGCAAAATTGAGGATATTATGCAGATATTTACTTAACCAGAGGGAAAACAAATTTCCACACATTTTTTACTGACAAAATTCAAAATACAACATATGAGTACAATTTTTCGCAAGGCAAATCTAATGAAAAGCATTAGAATTTACTTGTCATGCTGAAATTTACATTGTATATAATTTTCATGTCACTTTTTTTTTTTTTTTTTTTTAGCATTTATTTATTTATTTATTGAGATGGAGTCTTGCTCTGCCACCCAGGCTGGAGTGCAGTGGCACGATCTCGGTTCACTGCGACCTCCATCTCCTGGGTTCATGAGATTCTTGAGCCTCAGCCTCCTGAGTAGCTGGGACTGCAGGCACATGCCACCACACCTGGCTAATTTTTGTACTTTTAGTAGAGAAGGGGATTTCACCATGTTGGCCAGGCTGGTCTCGAGCTCCTGACTTCAAGTGATCTATCCACTTCAGTCTCCCAAAGTGCTGGGATTACAGGCGTGAGCCACTGCACCCGGCCTTTTTTAACCATTTAAAACTGTAGAAAACATTTTTAACTCATAGGCCACACAAAACACCCATGCTCTAGCCTAGTGCTACCCAACAGAAATATAATTTACATATGTAAGTTTAAGTTTTCTAGTAGTACTATTTAGAAAGTAAAGAGATGAAATTAACATTTTATTAAATCCATTATATCCAAAATATTATTATTTTAACAGGCAATCAATGTAAACATTTACAAATTAAATACTTAACATTCTTTTCTTCATTCTAAGTTTTTGGAATCCAGGGCGCATTTTACACTTTAATTTTACATCACAATTTGGACCAGTCATATTTCAAGGCTGAGTAGGCACTGGTGGTGAATGGCTGCTGTACTGGATAGTACAGCCCTAAAACTGAAGTCTAGTATTTTTAGCTATACCATGAATCTTCACAGCATTCCTATTTTATAAATCTAGGTGTAAGTTCAACTATCACCTTCTTAAGGGAGGATGACAGAATAAGGCATATGAGATGATAAATGTCTCTAATTAATGTAGTCAAGCAAATAAATTCCAAATAATTTGAAGTCTAACAAACTGGATTGAAGTTGTTAATATTTACTCTAAATACCATAATATATGTTTCTTTTTGATCCACTAATAGTCTGTACACTTAGATAAATAATGTGATTCCCTGCTTTCCCAATATAAATTGTTTTGGCTGAGGGATTATTCCAATGATGAAATCCGTTTTATATAATATGAAGTCCTACCATTAGACTTCTATAAAATAGAAACCCTAAGTGATGGTCAGTGGTTTTGAAGAAGGAATTTTGGGGTCCTTGATCCAGTAGCTAACCTTCCCCAAAACTCTTAAGTATGTGCTTTCTTCTTATTTTTTTCCAAGCACATAATAATCATAAAATTCCTCTAGCCCCTCTGGCTCCTTGCTATTCCTCATGCAAGCCAGATACGCCCCATTGGTGGACTTCATATGGCTGTTCCACCAGCCTGGAACATTGTAGCTCCAGATATGTGAATGGCACTGCACTCACCTCCTTCAGGTAGACTCAGATTTACCTATGAGACTTTCTGGTCATCCTCTTTGAAACTGATCCACCACCTCCCATGTCCATGCTGACACTATACTCCCTTGCCTGCCCTTTGACTCCACGTGGAACTTTCTGCCATCCCATATTCATGTATCCCATTGATCTATTTGTTATGTTTATTTGCTGTTGCATACCAAGTAACCGTGTGCATCTGGCACATAGTACGCTCTCAACAAATATGTGTTAAATAAGAAACAAAACATTTAGAGTGGAATCATACTAAAAATGACTCTGCATCTTTTTTTTCACTCACCAGCATACAGCTGACATCTTTCACTGTCAATATTTAGGTGTACTACATTTTGTTTTTAGTTCAGTGACTTCCCTTTCCAATCATTTATTAGAAAGATGATATAAGCTAGTAAAAAATTTAAAAAAATACAAAGGTGTATTAAAGAAAAAGTAAAAGCCAAGTCTTTATACCATCCAACATCTATATGCCTGGGCAAATTGTCACTGATAAGAGTGATGTCTAGATAGTCGCCCAAGCACATATACATCCATATAAACACATACACAAGCACGTCTCTCCCCAGTGTGTTCTTTGTACACAATGGGATATTATACGTATTATTCTGCCCCTTGTTCATCTCACTCGGTAATACGTGATAGATGACCCCTAACTCAAAGGCTAGTTTCTCAGGATGGGAAACTCATTTTCTGGTTCACATTGTAGAAAAGTGCCTCACACAAAACAGGGGCGCTCTTTCTCTCTCTGTCTCTCTCTCTCCCCCCCATATATATATATGTGTGTGTGTGTGTGTGTGTGTGCATATACGCCTGAGTGAATGAGTGAATAATAAATGAATATATCCTTTTGTACATTTTGGCAAGTATTCTTACAAAATAAATTCCTAGAAGACGAACAGCTTGACCAAGGGGCAATCTAACCTTGATTATTAATTCCCAATGGTTGGATGAGACTTTTAGCTTGCTTCATAGCCTTCAGAGTTTGAGCTGATCATGTTTGCACTTTACTGACAACCTTGACCTTGAGAGTTCAGGTGCCTGATGATAGGTATCTATTGTTTTTGACAAGATCCAACTCAGTTTTCCACATTTCACTTAAGTAGTTTTGGGTAATGCCTAATTATCTTGTTTCTAAGGTGTTTTAAAAGAAGAAATATCTTAGGGTAAAATTACTGAGAAGCTGGAGGAGGCCTTGGAGGTAACAGTTTATCTGTTTTGGTTAAAAGAAAAGGAGAGCTTCTTACACTTGACATGAGAACTGGGGAGGGGTGTAGCTCTTAAAGTAAAAACCAGCTCCCTCAGGACCCAGCAGTTCCATTTCTCAGTTCCGTTTCTAACCTAGAGAAACAAACTTTCTTGTACACAAAGAGACACATATAAAAACGTTCACTGTGGTATTGTTTATAACAGGGAAAAACTAGAAACAACATAAACACACAGCAGTTTGGAAGTCACTAAATATCATACAGTCACACTGTAAAATACTACGCAATTAGTTTTCAAAAAGTAGATAGATCTAGACTTCTAACAGCAAAAGGTCTTCAAAACATACTGCTCAGTAGAAAATCGACATAAAATGGACAATATGACATTGTTTGTGTTAAAACATAGAAATCGGGCAGGCGCCATGTCTGGCCGCGAAGGTGGCAAGAAGAAGCCACTGAAACAGCCTGAGAAGCAGGCCAAGGAGATGGATGAGGAAGATAAGGCTTTCAAGTAGAAACAAAAAGAGGAGCAGAAGAAACTTGAGGAGCTAAAAGCGAAGGCCGCGGGGAAGGGGCCCTTGGCCACAGGTGGAATTAAGAAATCTGGCAAAAAGTAAGCTGTTCCTTGTGCCTGAGGAGATGGTGACCCTTTATTTCATCCTTATTTAAACATCTATATTCCCTGCCATAACATCTTTTGCCACCTAAAGCTGGAATTAAGTGTTGTCTTGGAGCTGTTGTACATTTAAGAATAAACTTTTGTAAAAAACAAAAAAAATAAAAAAAAAATCTTACAGTGGCTCATCATCTCTTTAGTTGTTTTCACTAAGTCATTCCTACCATAACTGTGAATTTAAAGTAAAACCAGCTCAGAATCTTGCCAGAGTCTGCTCTTTGGTCCTTGTTCTACCCTAAACTTTGTATCCCCTGAAATTAAACCAACTCGTTTGAAAGGAAAAAATAAAATAAAACAAAATAAAACATAGAAATCCGTACGATTTATTTTCTGTGTGCATATGTCTATATTCTTAATACACAGAAAAAGGTCAGGAAGAGCAATGCCAAAATGAAACCAACATGCATATTGCTGGGGACTAAAGGAGAACTCTGGCCTTATTCTATCATTTTTATAAGGAGAAAGTGTTTATATATGACTCACATTCTTAAAAATCAATTCAAGAAACAGACAACATGAGGCCATGAGATGAGAAATTCACACCCGATTTCCTACCTCCAAGCTCAATCCCTTTATTAAAAAAAATCTGTGCAGCTTGTCTTACTGGCTTATATTAAACAAAAATTAAAGTATTCTTAGGAGACAATTTGAAGATTTGATCAAGAGTAAATTAAATGCGTAAAAAATATTTCAAATGCTTTAGGACTATTTTTTTTTAAGTCACGAATAACGTCAGAAATGTAGGAGGCTACCTCATCCACTTACTCCCCTTCAGATCTTTCTTTCTTTCTTTCTTTCTTTCTTTTCCTTCTTTCTTTCTTTCTTCTTTCTTTCTTTCTTTCTCTCTTTCTTTTCTTTCTTTTTCTTTCTTTCTTTCTCTTTCTTTCTTTCTCTCTCTCTCTCTCTCTCTCTCCCCTTCCCTCACTCCCTCCCCCTCTCTCTCTCTCTTTCTTTCTTTCTTTCTTTCTCTTTCAAATCTCACTGGAGAAGGTGCTCCCCTAATCCCCTTTTGTTAATAAGTTCCTGTGTGAGCAACACTTATAATTGGGTAGTTGGGGATCAGTTCTCCCTCTCACCAAAAAAAAAAAAAAAGAGAGAGAGAGAGGGAGAGAGAAAATAAAAAACCCACTACTATAAACAAGAAAAATAAAAACTCTTCAGAAACTGAAAATAACTATATATACAAAATTCAATTTGATCTGAGATAAAATATGGGGAAAATATATACCTTGGTTTCTGTCAAATACAATTTTCTTCCAGAAGAGATAATTTTAACAGCTGTAGAAATCAACTCTCCTCTACAGAATTTCTGGGAACATTTTTGATATATGGGGGAATATTAACTCTAATATCAAATGTCATGAACACAAATAAAACCAACTTACTTAAGTTGTGATTGTCCTTTTTCTGCCTCTCTTTGGCCAGTGCTCTTGCTTCAGACTCTGTGGGAAAAATACACGCTGTGCACGTGAATGAAGTCATTAGAAGTTGGAACTGTTTGAAGTTGCACAAAATGTAAACTACAAAATATCTCATTTCCCAAACATATGGAAGCTTATCTGACTTGACTCTAAATAAAAATACGTTTTTATAAAACGATATCTTTTTAAAAAGCTTGCATGTTTTCAAAAGCAATATATATCAAATATACAATATGTAAAAACTGGGCTTCCACAAAATGGTAAAAAAAAAAAACCCGGTAAAAATTATCTATAGCACACTGTAAACATATATAGATACTAGCAAGAAAGATATTGATAACTAGAAAACTATGTCAATTTGCTGTTGATACTTTATTATCAGGGGTCTGATATCTTTTCTTTTCAGGCCATAGAAGCTTTCAGTCCTTTTTTGATGCCTTTGTAACATGCTGATATAAAAACTGAGTAGAGGCCCAGCATGGTTGCTCGCACCTGTAATTCCAGTACTTTGGGAAGTGGAAGTGGAAAGATCACTTGAGCCCAGGAGTTCAAGACCAGCCTTGGTCTTTACAAAAAATAAAAAGTCCAACATGGTGGTACATGCTTACAGTCCCAGCTACGGGAGGCTGAGGTGGGAGGATCACTTGAGCCCAGGAGATCAAGGTTGCAGTGAGCCGTGATCATACCACTGCACACCAGCTCAGGAGACACAGAGACACCCTGTCTCAAAAAAACAAAACAAAACAAAAAAAACCTCCCAAATTGGATCTATCTTCTGACTAGTTCACTAGTTCATAGAATGAACTCATTTTTTCAGAAGTTGGTGCCAGATTCTGTTAAAACCTGCTGTAATGAAATCATCTAACAACTTAGGAACAACTATTTACTAGCTTGAGTCTATACAAACAAAATAGGAATAGATGCACTCGGTGACAACTCCAATTGGAAAGTTCTATTTGCATAGCAACTCTTGTGAGATCTCTGGGATAAGAAACTGCTTTTTGCCTTACACAGAACAAAACAAAACAAAACAAAACAGAATTAAAAAAAAAATGTTACTTGACCAATCTTGGGATTCAGAAAGCTCTGTTATTTCCTTTTCAGAAGTGATAGTTGAAGCATTACACTATCATAATTTAGAATTTTATCTCAAAATAGAAATCATTTTAGCATAACTTATAGCAACTGAAGCATACATATACACCATATATATTTATTATATGGGTGTTATGTATGTATATATGCATATATATATGCATACGTACATGTATATATGCATATATATGCATATCTATGTGTGTGTGTGTATATATATATATAAAACTCAGAAGTTGAATTCTTTCAATTGTGATGGTCAATCCAAATCATTTTCTAGTTTTTTTTCCCTCACACAGAAGCATGACTTATATACCCTCCACTTCAATGATTCCTAAGTTGTTGTTGTTGTTTTGTTTTGCTTTGCTTTGTTTCGAGACAGGACTCATTCCTCTTGCCCAGGCTGCAGTGCAGTGGTGCGATCACAGCTCACTGCAGCCTGGAACTCCTGAGCTCAAGCAATCTGCCTGCCTTAGTTTCCCAAAGTGTTGAGGTTACAGGTGTGAGCTACTGTGCCTGCCCAACAATTCTTGCTTTTGCTGTTGTTGTTGTCTTGCAGTAAATTTCCTTTTTGGTAGGGTAACTAATTGTGTTTTGGCTTTGGATGGTTTTTACTTATTAGTTACTCTTTTCACTCAAATCCACGGTTTTTAAAAAATGTCTTTCTCCTGCTTATTTTCTGAAAAAAAATTTTTTAAGACACCCTTGACTGGAACAGGAATTCTCTGTACCAAATCCATATTCCATATTCTCAGTCTGTTCATCCAATCCTGCAGGATGCAAGGATCAAATAATAAAAGGAGGGGTGGGGTAAGGGCCATAAAATTCACCATGGTAGAATGCCAGTTCTAATATAGTTTCCGCCATGTTTTAATGACCAAATAAATGCCTTCCCTAAAGCATTAAGCAAAGTAGAGAAATAGGTAATTTCACACTTGCCTTAAGAACAAATAATACCCATTGCTCCATTTTATAATTTTTTCCCCCCTGTGTAATAAATCTTTTGCACACAATACAGCAAAAGACAACAGGAGGCATCTGAAGATGTAGGAAATATGTTCTCTTGCTATCCCAATTGTGGGCTCGAATGTGTGTCAAAGGAAAATTCAGATTTGGGTTCTCAAACTCCAATGCCTCTAGGGGCTTGTAAGAAACATACATATCGGGCCGGGCGCGGTGGCTCAAGCCTGTAATCCCAGCACTTTGGGAGGCCGAGACAGGCGGATCACGAAGTCAGGAGATCGAGACCATCCTGGCTAACACGGTGAAACCCCGTCTCTACTAAAAAAATACAAAAAACTAGCCGGGCGAGGTGGCGGGCGCCTGTAGTCCCAGCTACTCAGGAGGCTGAGGCAGGAGAATGGTGTAAACCCGGGAGGCGGAGCTTGCAGTGAGCTGAGATCCGGCCACTGCACTCCAGCCTGGGCGACAGAGCGAGACTCCGACTCAACAACAACAACAACAACAACAACAACAAAAAAAAGAAACATACATATCAGGTAGGGTGGAGACAGTTACAGCTGAAAGAGTTGCCTACTATCCCCAGTGCAAAGGGGACCTTCATCATAGATACAGTGATTGGTGACATGCAGTAATTGTGGCCCCGATTCCCAGTATCTCAGGAGATTTTCAAGGATCTCCTTGAAATCTGCAGTAAGAGGTACATTTGTTAGGTGTTTACCTGTGAGCTCCCTTTTTATGTTGGGGAGGTTGGCTGGACAGGAGTTGCTGATGGTGAGGCCTGGTGGGGGCAGACCTTGGTTTCCATAAAGATCAATCAAGTTTCCCGAGACAGGCAACTAGAGAGAGACCAACAGTAACAGAAATTAACTGTTGAACAATTCCCACGTTTTTTCAGATAAAAAACTATGATCCTACTCTCGGATTTATTTAAGAAAAATTATTTGATACAAAAAAAATCATTTTTAAAATAGGAAAATATGAGATGTTTATTTTTTCATTCGCTTGCAGATATGAAAAGAGAGTCACAGGATCTCCTCAACTAGCTCCCTTTGAGGGAGGAAAGTACAGTCTCACACCCATAAAATGATTACACTAACTAGCCAGTGGGCTTATTTTGAGCATGGAGACAATGAATAATGTGGTGAATGCATTATCTAGTACAACTAGTAGCATACAGAGGATGTTCAGGAAATGTTGGCTATTATTGTAAAACAGGATTGTATATAAAATGACCTTTTCACCAAATAGGACTTTCCATTAAAGTTAATTTTGTTCCTTCCTTCTCGTCTCCACCTCTTCTTCTTTTCCTTTTACAAGGAAAAGCAATGAAAGTTTTTATTTATTTGTTTTTAAATTGGAAAACAAATGATTTCCTTAATGCTAGAGAGAAAAAGCATTTTCTTGAAATTGAAATTTTCCACAAAGCCACAAGAGGGAGCCCACAGACTTTAAAACAGAGCAACAATTTACACTTTGAAAAAAATTTAAAAAATAAAAAGTAAAAGAAATAGTTAGCCTTCCCCAAGCTAGCATCAGAGTTTTTCCTCTGGTTCTGAATGGGATGTTTTAAAGCAGCGAGCTCTCCTTTAGTTGTGTATGTGCATTTCTTGGTAACTAGCTGGTTGCAGCAGTTTATAGGCCTGTTTTTTGTAGAAAAGGCCCAAATGGATCCCCCTTCCCACACCCTGAAATACAGTTTGAAATAGTAACTATGGAGAAATCATTGAGTGACCTCACTCCTTCCACTTGCAGACATGTACCGTTACTAGACTGATTCAAACAATTTCTATAACCATGATTACTGGGTAAGACTTTATGTTGTTTAGCCCTCCCGTTTCTTGATTACACATTGAATTGTATTCTACATCTGAGAAAAGTACATTCAGAAAGCATTTAGGTGTGATTAAAATGTTTAGTGACTGAGAGGTATCTAGTAAAAACTGTATTCAACAGAGTACCTTGTATCCTCTCAAATGACCACTAACATACAGATGAAAATATGCCACAAAATACGAATCAAATGTGCTTCCCCTCATGGTAGCCATTGCATCAATTTCTGGGATGGCTTCTAAACATATACGCTATGAATTAAACCCCTAGCTAAAGAGATTTGGGTGGCAGGCAATGGACATGGAATAAGATACTTCTTGATGGGTGAATCAGACACTGGCTCAAACAGGACTGGGGTGGGCAGGCAGGACAGACAAACCAGCAGAATACAACTCCCTGTTTTGCTCCTTTTTGAAAACAGCGTTTATAGTATGTGCATAAAACCCAATACACATACCCCCATACACATGCACAAAAATAGACATTGTGGTCATTTAAAATGCCCTTGTATCGTATTTCAAGGCCCTTTAAGGAATTGATAAAAAGTGACTTTGATTATTAGCTATCATTTCACTAAGTGGTTTTATTTGAAATAGGTCACCTTCTCAGGGTCAGCCTTGCTCTGTGTGTGTGTTTAGTTTTATTCTTGTCCAATTTAACGCAAAGTGAAAGGCACTCACATGTTTCAAAATAGCCTGTAAAGTACCAGAGAGACTAAACTTATACAGTTGTCATGATGTCTGGTAACTCCTTGGATTCCAAAGCTTTATTCCCCTATCTTTTGAGAATTTCAGGTTTTGGGAAAGCTTCTGGGTTTTAACAAACCAAGAATGTGACTTGAAAATTCAAAGCAATAAGCTAAAAGAAAAATTATTCCCCTTGCTCTAGAAAGGCAAATCACATATATGGTTTTCATATGCAAATTGTATGCAAAACTCACTGTGTTATTATGAAGATTTGTTAGGGATAAATAATAGCAACTGATACACATCTCCAAGTCACTGATAGACCTATGTGGAACAGACATCTAATTCTAAGCTTCTTCTGGACAAGAACATATTTTCTAACTATATTCTAAAGAAGAGATATGTACATGACTGAGAGAGAGAATGCTTTCTGCCATAGACAGCCAGATGGACAGGGTGGGGGAGACAAAGAGCAAAGTGGGGGATACCTAGTGAGAAATGGATTGAGACAGGTGAAAAACTACAGAAAGGACTGCTGTGATTAGCATCGATTGATGACAGTGCACACCAATAAGGGAAATGAATTAAAATCCCTACAGCAAGATGCCTCATTGGGCACTCTACTGAGGTCAGACATCATTACTTCCAGTTGAAAAAGCTTATAGCCCTCTATCTACTTCTCTGAAAGATTTCCTGCTTCGGCTGCTTTCCCCATACTTACTGATTAGGAGTGGGAAGCAGAAAGCATGCCAGAATATTTTGCTGGGGGTCATCTCATTTTTTGGGTGCCTACTTTGGGACAAGCACAGAATTAAAATGGCACTTTGTGTATGGCATCTTACTGCTTTTTACAGAAAGAAAAGCCAAGGTTTGGCCATTGCCAAATGGAGGTTTTTGGTTGGAGGCTCAGGTCCCATGTTAACAGCAGAACTGGGGGTGGGGAGAGTATCAACATGCTGATATTAACCAATTAGAAACTGCAACTTTCAATTCATCTCCAATTAGATCTGAGGAAATAAAAACCCTGCCGCTTATTAGCCAAATGTGGATACTCCAATCTACCAATTAATGGTGCAGAACTTTATAGCCTGTGCTTAGGAGTCAGAGACCCAGATTAAAATCCTGCCTCTTTGCTAACTTGCTATGTGATATTAAGCAAGTTCTCTGAGGCTTAGTGTCTCCAATTGAAAAGCGACAACCATTCATCTCACAGGGTTTTCATAAGATTTCGTAGAGATAAAGTAGGTGAAACACAGTGCCTGTTACTTCAGTGATCAGTAAGTAGTAACCACTATGATTAACAACACGTATTATAATTTTCTAGGGAGTACTGGATTCCCACTTTACAGTTTTGACAGGTGAGCTAATGTTCACTTTGATCAACAAAACCACTTGCCTTGTTAATTACTAAGTACATTGTCAACGATTAGAAAATTTTTACCAGACTGCAATACAAATCTAGGAACAGAAATCAGGGAATCTGCAAGGCTGAGGTGACCAGTCATTATTCCAAGTCAGGGCTTCTACACTACAGCTGATTTTGTTTCCCCGGATCAATGTCTGGAGGTATTTTCAGCTGATGCACCTGCAGGGTATTGGCTGCTGACATCCAGTGGGTGAAGGCCAGGGATGCTGTTAAGCATCCTAAAATGCACAGGACAGTCTCCCACCACAAAGACTTATGCATCCCAAATGTCAACAGTTCCACAGTTGAGAAACTGTGTTCTAAATGGTGGTGAATATTCTTTGTATCAACAGCTCTTATTTGCTGAAGCTACTAAAAGGAAGGTTGATGGAAATAATTTAAAATGTGTCTCCTAGTCATGCATTTTAAAGAAAGGGATTCTGTGGTTGGTTCCTCTGCATTAGAAAACTTCCCCCATAAATATAGTTAACATCACAATTAGGTCAAAATAACACCTTTAAGAGCTAAGAAAGAGGAAGAGGCTTCTTCTATTAACATGTATATTTCACATCTTTGTTGGGTTTTTATCCAGGCCATTTACCTAAATAGCAAGATTTCACTTCCAGAGCACAAACTGCACCGTGGACAGACGAAAGCCACAGTCTAATTGGGACAAAAAAATTGAAGGAAGATGCGCCTGGGTCTATGCCCCCATATTGGTCTGAATTGAGTTCTTCAATGTTGTGCTCCACCAAAATGAATATTTTCCCAAGTAAATGATAATCGTAAAATGTTATTATTTTTTCTCTCTGGATGGTCCCCTTCTCCGAATATCAATTGAGCACTGTTAACACAAGTAAACTGGGACTTTTATTCTTTGTTTTTGATAGTACAAGAGGGCCCTTGTGCTCTCAGAATAGTTATTTCTAGACTTCAATTCCCTTAGGACAGTTTCCTTTCTAAGTGTTCCTTCCACTTTATTTTTTTCTCAGTAGTTAACTTGAAATAAAGCATTTCAAATAATCAAATAAAAGAAAAAAAATGCCTAACATGAAGAACATTAAATTTAAACTTTATTGTGGGAAAAAAATTAAAATGTTAATAGGTTGTAGTAGCTTTGTTACTTAATTTTGACAACTAAAACCCAAGTTCATCAAGAATAAGAGCTAGTAACTAACTTTTAGTGAGAGCTTATCAGGGCCCAACTGTTCTAAATGCTTTTTGTGGATGACCTCTTATAATTCTCCCATTAATTCTATTGCAGTAGATGCTATTATGATCCCCATTTTACAGACAAGGACACAGAAGCAGAGAGGTTGAATCACTCACTCAAGGGTATGTATTCAGATGTCTGGTTCAGAGTCTGTGCTCCTAATGTTGAAGTTACATTGCCTTTCCCCTAATGGCAAAATGCTGAAATAGATTTGTTGAAAGAAGACTCTAATGGAGCCACATTTAGCCTTTCTAGCATGGGGAAATAGAAGAGAGGTGGATGCCGGGATAAAGTCAGTGACTTCTAAGGGTGGCTGCAGGGGACTCCTCTCCTGTCTGGGAGTTAATTCAACTCTGCCCAGAGGATCTTTCTTATCTGGAAATTTCCTTTGAGATGGCCTCTCTGCTCCTGAATTGTCCTTCTCCCCTCAAGGGCTAAAAGAGTCTCCCCCTTCTAGACTGGTAACTCCCATGAGAACCCCCCATGAGAACAGGAAACATACCTTAGTCACCTTTGCATCCACAGCACCTTGCCCGGTGCTGCCCACCTATTAGGCATATTAATAAATACTAAATTAATCTTTAATATAGTTTAGGAGCAACCATATAATGAAGGAACAAGGCCTCAACGCTAATGTAGATGGAATGAAGAGGTATGAGGATTCATTCTAGTTTTTTATTTTTAAATGTGTTTTTTAGAGACAGGGTCTTCCTCTGTTGCCCAGGCTGAAGGACAGTGGCATGATCATGATTCATTGCATCCTTGAACTCTTGGGCTCAAGTGAGCCTCCCATCTCAGCCTCCTGAGTAGCTAGGACTACAGGTATGTACTACTACCCCACCCAGCTAATTTTTTATATTTTTTATAGAGACGGGTTCTCTCTATGTTGCCCAGGCTGATCTCCAACTCCTGGTCTCAAGTGATCCTCTTGCTTCGGCCTCCCAAAGTGCTAGGATTATAGGCGTGAGCCATGGGCCCAGCCAGGTATTCATTCTAAAGGACAGAAGCATATATGGGGTCATAACAACTGTCTTCAGAAGGGTTGGTATGTGAAAAAGTTCTCCATGAAGCAAACTAGGACCCATGCTGCAATTTACAGCGTTATTTACTGTGAGGGATATTCTGAGACAAATATGTCTCACAGATAGCTAATATAGAGCTGGATACATTATAGGGGCTCAAGGAAGATCAGCTGAATACACAAATACTATCAATATTATTTGATATTATAATTAATAAGTTATATTTAATAATTTAGAATACAACTTGTGTTTCCAACGCTAAATACTGTAGATACTTTATCAAGTGTGTTAACCACATGATATAGGTATATTTAACAGCCCCATTTTACAGATGGGGAAACGTAGGGTTTCAGGAAGCTAAATAACATGCAAGGTCACAGAGGAAATGGCAGATTCAGGATTTGACCCCAGATCTGGTCAGAAATCTCTAAATCCTAACCATTGTGCTTTGCTATTTCCCTAGTGAGCTAGTACAGATCCTTTTTTGGAGGCTTTCAAGAAGCTGGATGGCTTCATTTTTTTGTGGAGAATATGAAGGAGATGCAAGAGAAGGTCAGGCCAGGCATAGTGGTGCACGCCTATAATCCCAGCTACTTGAGGGAGGAAGATCACTTGAGCCCAGGAGCTCAAGATCAGTCTAGGCAACAAAATGAAATCCTGTATAAACAAACAAACAAACAAACCACAGAAAGCAAATGGATTGAGTACTAGGTTAGACCAAATGACATCAAAGGTCTTTGCCATTACAAAAAAAGTCAATGATTTTACAGAATCGTATCAATTCTAACAGCCCACTTGAGGGTGCCCAGGGACCCATTTGACACCACTAGCAAAATGACCACTCTCATGGCAAAGTTCTTTTGAAATGACTGGGCCATTGCTAATTAATGCTGCTAGAGCAATGTAACATAAATATATGTCTTTGGGTATATTTATAAATTCCCCAGGGCATGCTTCCCCAAGTGTTTTGCGCATGTTCGTCCTAAGATTCTGACTGCTAGACAAGTACAGTTGGCCTCATGGGATGCACCAACTTGTAAGCAGAAAGGTTCCACAAAAGCCAACCAAGGATTCCAAGAGGTTGGGATAGTTCGGCAAGAAAACTTTTATCAAAATGGCAGAACACCTGGTTCTTCCAAAATCAGGGTGTGGGTTTAAATGGGTGGAAAGTAGACAAGCTCCAAATATCACAGAAGAAGCTTGAGGTTTCAAGGGAAGTCCTCACCCCACATGAGTTCAAGGCAGTGAACTTGAAGAACTGGACCGAGATGGATTTAAAAAAAAAAAAAAGAAAAGTGCTATTATAAGACTCAATTTTCTCAGGATTCTGGTGTAACTAAGTAAGTGCTATTTTGTCCCCTGGCCAAGGGAATTTACTATTGGAAGTTAGTCGTATCTTTAAAAACTTTCATCATGGTAAAAAACACATACGATAAAAGTTGCCATCTTAACCAGTTTTAAGTGTATGGTTCAATAGTGTTATGTATGTTCACATTGTTGTCAAATAGATCTCCCGAATTTTTCATCTTGCAAATCTGAAACTCCATACTCTTTGAACAACTCCCCTTTTCCCCTTCCCCTCAATACATATTGGTCTTTAAAACACTAGTTATTAAGAATATGATAGTCTCATAGCATTGCTCTCAGAGAAAACAGAAAAGGATTGGAGAAGGCATTCAAAGACCTGCCAAGCAGGCCTGGCTCTGATACACCCAAGCTATGTAATCTTGCATAAGACCATCTAACCTAGTTACAGTTTAAAACTGAGGGCAATGATACCATCCGAACTTGACTCACAGAATAATTGCAAGGACTAAATAAGATCTGCAATAAGACTTTGGTGAAACAGTAACATAAGGCTAAAATGTAAGGAATGAAGGAAAATAAACAATATAGGCAAGTCTCTAAATTACAGAGAAAAACAAGTAACATATAATAGCAAACAGGACCATTGTTTATGAACTGAAGTTGGAATAAATTTTGCTGTTGGATAAGGGTAACCCCAATGTCCCTCTATCACCTAAGAATATGAAAAAACCTTCTTGAAAAACTGCACAACCTTTTTCAGGCTGACTAGAGCACCATTGTGAATAGTGCAGTTCATAATGGTTCCCTTGGCTGCAGTGTACTGGGTTGGGCATTAGATGTCAAGGGAATTGGAAGGGATAATGTCCTATCAAAACTGCTCTTGGACTCCAGGGAATGTAGAGTTTTATCATGGGCTTATTCACAAACTCATAAAAACTTCTTAATTTCTGATGTCAAAGTCACTTATTTGTGATCCTGAGATAATTCTCCATTTTACTATTAATACATTTCATCAGTGAACCAGTTACAAAGATACAATAAAAGTTTAAGAAAAGAGAACCCTGGAAACACCTCAAGATTTTCTACTTCAAAAAAGGTTACCAATACCGTATTCGCCATTTGCAAAGCAGGATCCATCAAGCCCAAGATTTCCTCATTATAACTTGATTCTAGGCTAATGATGTCATCGATTACATCATCCATCTGTAGGAAAAAGGGCAACAGAAGAGAGACAAAAATAAATAAAACTATGCAACATAACCTAAAAAGAGACTCATGGTCTTTCTTTACCCAAAGCAATAATGGTCTTTAGTTAGATTCTAAGAAGTAACTGTCCTCTTTCCACTAAAATAAAATAGTATTGAAGACCATTAACACTAATGGGTGATGAGAATAATACTTGTAGCCAGCATTTAATGAGTGATTATGAGTTGCCAAGCACTGGGTTCAAGGATTTTCATAGGCTAAGTTTTTGCCCTAACGAAAACCCTATCATGGCAGGTACTATTATTACAGCAATTTTCCAGGTGAAATAAATGAGAAGCAGCTCACCCAAAGTCACACACTGAAGAAAGACTGGAGCCACGATTTAACCTATGCTTTCACAACTATGCTAAACTGCCTGCCCTAAACAGGAAAGATGTACCAGAGCACTTCATCTTGAATGACAGCTGTCATTCTACTTCCTTTTTCCCCCCAAAGACGATGGCCCATACCCTTTTCTTGCAGAAGGAAAACACAGATGGTAATTCTGCCCTTTGGTTCCACAGGGAAGCATGGACATTGTGTCTCGCAGGCCACTGTCTATCCCTGCACCCATCTTACAGCGACTAGTAAAATAAGTTTCTCCTTGTACAGCTGCCAGTGTGCTTGGTACTCCGCAAGGAGTACACCAGGCCGAGGTTATCATTACAGTCATGGAGCTGACATTCCCACTAGATCAATTTTATTTCTGAAGTACCAAAACATCAGTTATGATAATAAACAACAGTGATTACATGTGCATTGCAGCAGTTGCAAAGACAAATCTGTGAAAACATTTCTTCATAAACACCTTATGTATTTGAGCTAGTTGGTATGTCTGTGCTTGGGTCTTAACAGTACTTCATAGTTACACAATGAAATCACAGAACTAACAGGGATGCTCTTCTATCTCTTTTGCCACTTCCATTAAAGAGGAGAGACTCCAACATTCATGGGTTTGAGTTGGAATCCCAGTTCTCCTACTTTCTAGACTGGGGCAAAGCCTCCGATCTTTTTTTTTTTTTTTTTTTTTTTTTTTTTACTCTGTTGCCCAGGCTGGAGTGCAGTGGCCTGATCTCAGCTCACTCCAAGCCTCCCGGGTTCACGCCATTCTCCTCCCTCAGCCGCCTCTGATCTTTTAAAGCCTCAGTTTCTCAATCTCTAAAATGGGGGTTAATAATATTTATTGTCTTATGGATTCTTGTATGATTTCAGGACAAACTGTACGGAGTGTTCAAAGTACCAGGAATATAGTAAACACTCAAAAAAGGAGTCTTGTTAAGTGACCCCTAAGAAAAAAATAATTGGCCAGTTTTGAATAACTACTATCCACTGTTTGTTAGATTCTATTTCTATTGACACCACTTTTATTTGTTTTGTTTGTCTTTAAGAGATGATTTTCTAATTGAGTTGGTAAATATGCAAATAGGTTAGGAAACTTATGAACAAAGTTTCCTTGCCATTTTTAATTTTGTTCTTAGAAAAATAAAATTAGTGGGTTTGATGTAATAGCATTTTTAAAATAATTTTTTTCTCTCATGACAAAAGTAATGCAAGTTGATGACAGGAAATATAGAAAGGCAAAAAATTTTGTTGCTTATTATTCTCTCCTATATCTATATACATGCATAGATATATAAATAGATATAGCATAATTTATATATCCATTAAATAGGATATAATAGAAGAAACTTTAGTTACTTGGGAAAGCATCCATTACATATTATTAAATTAATATAGTTTCAAAATATATGCTCGAGATTCCATTTAGGAAACAATATCTAGATTATACGCACACATCTTGGTTTTACTAATACAAAAATTGCTAACCTACAAATTTGTATAACATACATTGATTATGTTAAATTACATATTTCGTATCTTATTTATTAAAATTTATGTACTTCAAGAAGTTTTTAATCTTTGGAGCAACTTAGGGGAAAGCCATATTTTAGTTTATTCTTCCTTGTCATTATTTAATCATGAGATACTATGAAGAAAATGGCACTGTTCACAGCTTTCTCTATTAAAAAAAAAAAATCAATGGGGGAAAAAAATCCTTAAGTTTTCAGGAAGGTGTGATCCACCACAAATATAGATTCTAATTACAAAGTGTTACATCCTCAGGCTGCCAAGTCATTCAGTACCTGCATACAGGACGCTCGTGAATGTGTGTTCATGCCTGGGCACTCGCTCTCCGCCCTGTTTTGCTCTTCAAACTTATAAAATCCCTGCAAAAACACAAGCAAAAACAGCCTATAACTTGGATTTGCAAATGACTTTTTAAATGACCTGTTCACACAAAGCTGATGGCACAGCAACAAGATGAATTAAGCTTTCAAACAAAGCGGAATCTGACCAAGAGACGAAATAATGAAGGAAGAACTTGTGTCAAATCATCTTGCTAGATGACAAATTTGGGTACAGAAAAATAAAGCAGTTGGTTTGGGCAAAGGGGCAAAGATTTTAGTCCCTCTAGAAATTAAAATCAATCCAGCTTTAGAAAAGTTGCCTCTGAATTTGCATAAACACTTCATAGTACATAGTACAGTAAATCCCACTGAGATGAAGCTCATCATCTCATAATTCGGAAATAATGAGCATTAAATCACAACTCTCAGGTATTCATATGCTCCAAATTTTGATGCACCAATTAGCTTGAAGGTAGTTTGAGTCTTGTCTCCAATCCAGCCTTTACCAAAGCAGATTTAACGGGCAGCAGCAATTTTATTATTGAAACAGAATGTATCCAGAAATTAAACCTTTGCGTTTCGTTTCCGTTAAAGTCTCATGTGCTATATGATTCAAATCCATCCATGCACATTCCATGCTTTTTCCCCCCAACTCAGGGAGAAATAAAAATAATATTCCAGACATTCACAACAAGCGGAACTTCTAAACCGCCTGTCCCACACCTCTTCTATTTTTGCTTTTCCTTTTCCACCTCCCCTTCTCCTCTCTCTTCATTTTCACTGCTTCATAAACTGAAAGGCATGGAAGAGAAGAAAGCACTCAGCTAAGGAAGAAGAAGCAAGTGGCAAAAGTGTCCTCGCCTCCACGTTTCACTTGGAGAGGGCCAGGTCTCCCGTCATGTGCCGTACACCCAATAACCCAGTGACGGGGACAAGAGGCTGGAATGCCACAGCCATGATGGTGAATCAGGGACAAAGGCTGGTAAATGTGACCACAAGGACAAACTAGAGTCCACAGTTAAGTGTGGGAATCATATTCAACAGACAAGTTATTTAGCATAAGAAAACAGGAGAGGAGAGGAGACATGAATTACCTCTTTTTCACAGTTGGAGTTAAGCGTAAGCATAGCCATGGGGCTGTTGGGTGCGCTGCTCCCCGGCACCGGTGGCATGACATGATCGCCAGGCTGGTTTGGACATGGCAAGCTCAGGACTTGGTTGGCATGTTTATTTGCTAAAGTGGTAGAAAGGTACTGCTTTACCTGCTGCCGTTGGGCTTGCTGTATGTGGTACTTGGTGGGGTTTTCGAGGTGGGTCTGCACCTGAACATAGCCATGGAGGGAAAAGAAGACAGCGCTGTTATTTGTGAGTTTCAGATGGCTCTTCTTTCAGGCACAAACGTGAAACTGACCAGTCCACCAACAGAATAAATTATTAAGCCTTTGTTATGTACCAGGCACTGTGCTAACGGATTTTGATATTACTGAAGTTTAAAGTCTAACTCGTCGGATTTGGGGTAATACTTTGCCCTATTTTGTTTCCCTGCTAATTAACTATACATCTCTTTCAAATCTTCTTCTCATATCTGATAATTAAAAGTTTGAAATTATCTTAGGGCAAAAACTTCCCCAACACACATGAAAAGGTTTATTAAGAACAAAATAAAAATGTAGAAGAAGGGGCATAACTCAGTTTGTTTCACTTTCCTTGGAAAACAGAACAGCTTTCTTTTTAAAACACACACACACACACACACACACACACACACACACCCCTCCTTAAGAACCAACTGTGTAAAATGGCTGTAGAAAATAAATAGAAATCTTCCAGTGATTAAATCAACCAGTTGTGGATTAATTCTCCCACTCCATTTGGACATGATTATTCAACATTTTAATTAAGAAAAAACTCAACATAAAAAGCAATTCTACATTAAGTAGTTTCTTTCAAATGCATAACACTTACACGTATGTGTTTTAAAAGACATGACTATTAACAAGTCAAGAGGATGTTTTTTCTGCTTTCCTACAGACAGTAATTTAGAATGAGAAATACTTTTCCCCAAAAAACAACATTATTCAATTTTAAGTCACTTTTTTCCTGATAAAGACAATTTAATCTTATGAGCAATGAACAGGAGCTGATGAAGACAGTTTAGCCACACACTAGGCAAAAAAAAAAAAAAAAAAAAAGAATCCTACTAATATTTACTTTGTTCAAAACTACATTGGATTACTTCTTATGGCATCAAACAATAAACAGCATTAAAAGAGTAGATTTGTACTTACTGAAAACAGTATGTTTATTACAAAAAAAGTGTATTAAATCAATTTATTACATTATATTTCAAAGACTGAATATGAGTCAGAATAAAGCTCACCTGATAGTGATTATATTCTAGCATTTCCAGCATAACAACGCTTTAGGTGGCCCCAATCCAATGAGAGATGGTAGACTATCCCTCCCTCTACTTTCTGTAATTCCAGTTTGAAGATGGGCTGGCATAGAGAAGGCACTATAAACAAGGTATCCCGAGACACCATCGGAAACTTTATCACAGAAGCCCTGCTTATAATAACCTAAGCTAATTAGTTATGCATGTAAAAAAAAAAAGTTCACACAAGGGCCTTTTTTTTTTTGGAAGCCCTACGAGTTTGCTCTTAAATGTTGATATCAATTTTTCCCCCTGGCTTGACGTCATGCTTTTTTTCATAAATATAAAAGAACCTTTTTAAGTGACGAGCTATCAAAGTCAAACTCACTGTCAGATCAAGTCCAATTCACTATTCATCTTTAGTTCCAGTAGTATTAATAGACAATGGTATTTCTCTTTCAGCAATAGGTTAAGAGCAGGATGCCCCTTTGGAGGAGACATCATCTAAAAGCTACTATTACATGAGACTTTTCCAATGGCCGAATAACTGCCACTTCCGACTGCAGGATGACTATCTTTTAGTATAGAAGAGAAGAGACTCTGGGCTGAATGTTCAAGCTCAACAGCCTCTTCTTGCATCCTGGTTTTAATATGCACCTTATTCTTAGCTACATAGATTTGTAACCTGCCTATTGACCTCACATCAGGAAGACCGGGAACTATCCTAAATAGAACATAGCACACACAGAAGTGGATGTATATTTATGCAGATAATAAGAACTAAGTATCTCCCCTATTTAACTCTCAAATGAAAAAGCATGAGCCTTTTTGCCAAGAATTTTTAAATATTATTCTTAAGACAACAGAATAATGAGTTATCATATACACAACCGATACATTTACATATTTATTCCTTTATTCATTCATTATTGACTGTTATGTGCTAAACACTGTACAAAGCATAGAATATACATTGTGAACAAACAGATATAATTTCCAGCTTTATGAAACTTATATTCTGGGGTGAGGCAAAAAAAGAAAAGAGGCAAGCAAATATATACCTATAAATTGTGATAAATGCTTAATACCTACTGTTGACAAATGTTAAGCATAAAAATTTGACATTCAATAATGTTGTCTAAATGCCCAGGATAATGCAGTCCATCAGGTTGCCAATCTCAAATTGTTTCAAATGACTGATTTAGCATATACACAGAGGTTCACAGAGACTTTGCTTTAATAAAGGGTCCAGACATGATAATGATGAGGACAATAGACATTACTAAAATAAACATAAAATGAGGGCAATGAGTGGAATGTGCTTATTTCACTATTACACTTGAAAAGAGATTCACGTTTAAAAATAAATGTTAATTTACTGGCAGATCCTAATTCTTTAATGAATCCGAATATTATGCTTTGGTAAAGAAAGAAGCAATTTGCTATCCAGGTGGCACTGTCAGTGAGGTCTTTATTACATCCAGGTTTGGGTAAGCAGAATGGGATATATTTGGCTCTTTTACTGTTAATAACTTTTTATTTTTAGGTTGAAAGCAGATGGCCTATAAACACTATGCAGTCGACAGAACATCTCCAGTTGTTTCCAACCCAAACACCTCAAACAGGCAACATCAATGAGGAACATGAGCTATGAGGAAGGTAATAAGGAGTGGTGAGGTCTGTGGCAAACCAGAGGACACACTGTTCCTAGCAGGAACAGCAGACAAAAGCTGCAGCTGATTGTGGACATGTGGGAATACGAGTCCAGCCTAGCTCAATCTCCAAATTTTTCAAGGGTGGCTGGCAATCCAAACTTCTTTTTTTAGTAAAATCCTCCAGGTTTAAAAATCTGATGCTCAACTGTTTTGTGTTTCACAGAATACAAGCCTCAGCCCACAAACCACTAGAAAATAATCTCTATTTTACACTGTCTATAAGGATGATCTTCATATTTACATTCCCTTGGAGATAGCCTAGGTTATGAGAAGTTAGTGTCCGAATCCAGCCTTTTCCTGGTGCTTCTTTGACAGACAATGTGCCTGACAACACAGTCAGCAGAGTTCTTAACTTGAAACCTGGGTTCAAATTCTATCTTTGCAACTTACTACCCCTGTACCTTCTGCAAATCATTAACTTCTCCAGGTCCTCATCTCCTAGCATATTGAATGGGAGTGACAGGAGAGCTTGCCTCATATGTGTGTTTTCTGCATTAAATGAGATCATGTTTCTAACGGCTTTAGCACAATATCTAAAACAGCAATTCTCAAACATTTTTGTCTTAGGATCCTTTTACACTCTTTAAATTTACTTTATTTACATAGATTATGTCTATCAATATTTAGCATGTTAGAAATTAAAATTGAGAAATTTTGAAAACACACGATTATGCATTAGTACATATCTCACAGGATGTCAGAACAATGACATCTCAACACGACATGTAGCCTTTGGAAAACTCTACTATATACTGGTGAAATCAGAGTGAAAAAGGAAAACAATACCTTAGTGTTATTCTGAAATAGTCCAGATCTGGCAGAACCCCTGCAAGGGTCTTAGATACAACCAGGGCCTTCTGATCACACTTGGAGAACCCCTGATCTAGAATGTGGTTGGCATTCCAGCATCATCACTGCACCAGCAGTGTCACTCCCCACTGCGGACAGGTGGTGTGTGACATAGCCTCTATATGTCCACTTCCCTCCCCGATAAGATGCTGGAGAAAGATACTAACCCTGCCCGAACTCCCTCATAGCATTATTATGAGGCTCTATAGTCCTTTGCCAATTTAAAGAGCCATATAAATGGCTCTTTATATGGAAAATTATTTTCTGTCTTCAGCCATCCTTATTCATAGCTTTTTAGTTAATAACTTTGCTTTCATTAATTTTTAAATAGCCAATCAAACAAGTATGCAAATAAGAACATACATGTAGCATTAAAGAGGATAGAAACATCTTTATGATTTCCTGATAATGTTTGCAGGTTTTTGACCTTCCAGATGACTAACCACATTAAGGAATTCAGATAGCAAAAGTTGAGTACTGCCGAACATCTGAAGTACAGACGGTAAAATAAAGCTAGAATACTTTACCATAAAATATTATTTATTGATATAACTTATATTTCATATAAACTATGCTAGCTATCTGAGTTAAAGGGCACCCAAAGGCTTTGCAACTTTTATTCATTGTTAGCGCTCCTATATTTCACTCATTTCCTTTCTTCATTCAGATCTTAAATTGATAGCAAGAGAATCGGAATGGATCACCTCCTAACTGTCACACTTCAGCTTTACCACTTCCTGGGTAACACTGACAGGTTATTTTCCATCAGTTTCATTCTAAAGAGATCCTGGAGCACATCACATGTCAGTTTAAGATGGTGGCTGTAGATACTACCATCTTGGCTGACAACAGAATTTACTGGGGAAGAAATACCCCTATCTAGATATCCACTGCTCTTCTATTCTCTCTACTATTTGTAAACCAGAATTCCAGTAAAAGTGAGTGTAGATTCTTTTAATCCTTTTAGTCTGCTTATTTATTTATTATATTTTTAGAGATAGGGTTTTGCTATGTTGCCCAGGCTGGAGTGCAGTGGCTATTCACAGGTGCAATCATGGCACACTACAGCCTTGAACTCCTGGGCTCATGGTATCTTCCCACCTCAGCCTCCTGAGTAGCTAGGACATGCTTCTACACTCAAATGGTTTTTTTTTTTTTTTTCTTTGAGACGGAGTCTCACTCTGTCACCCAGGCTGGAGTGCAGTGGCCGGATCTCAGCTCACTGCAAGCTCCACCTCCCAGGTTTATGCCTCGAATGGCTTTATAAATATTTTTTTAAATAATTCAACACAATGTTCAGATTTATCACTTATGTTTAGAGAGATAATGTGTTCTTTTGCTCAATCAGTTTAAAGAAAACTAAAGGGATTAACCTTTAATCAAT